TGCTTCTCCTGTCAGAGTTCAATACAAACAGTTCTGGCTGTGATGTATGCCCTCTCAAACACATCACTGATATATATGTTGTGACAAGCTTCCATCCAAATGACATTAATAAGGTTTTCTTCTGGGTTCTTTATAGATTTATAAAATTAATCTGGCTGGCAAATTAGTGAAAGTGACCCTTGTATTTCGAGAGAAATCTGCTTTAATGTTTAAAGAATATTACTCAAATTGTAATCATCCCCCTAAGAGTATAAAACAAATATGGCCATTGATAGCATAATCTACAGCTCACTCCTGCCTCATAGTTTTTATTTAGCTTATACCAATGTTTTGATATCCAAAACGGAGGAAGAAACCACCTGAAACAGTCTTGTGCTTTCCTCTTGCACTTAATAAGTTCTGCTGTCTTCATATTTATCATGGCGTCCTGAAATTACTACGTTTCTTACTGACATCTTTTGCAAAACCCAGACAAAAGGAAGAATGTGTTCTTTAATTTCTCTGAAGGACGGGGGAAGTAGCAGAGTTATGTCCGCTGCTGACTCTGAAGCTCCACATTACTACTATTATTATATTGACTAAAGACTCTCCTTGTCCTCAGATGCATGCCATCCCGCTGCGTTCCTCCTGGGTGATGACGTGCGCCTACGCCCCCTCTGGGAACTATGTGGCCTGTGGAGGCCTGGACAACATCTGCTCCATATACAGCCTGAAGACCCGGGAGGGCAACGTGCGTGTCACCAGAGAGCTCCCAGGACACACAGGTAGGCACAGTGCCAGCTGAGATATAATATGAATTAATGAAATAAGCCTATTTATGGACTCAACCGAGTTATTTATATCCTAAATAACATGATGGCAGTTTCTTAAATCATATTCTGACCTGAGGGCAGCATTCTAGCATGCCTGGTTCAATATCTGCGACACGTAGACAATGCCTTACTTTAGTTTTAGAGCTCAGATTTGTATGTGCAGGCTGGCGGGCTGGTTCAACGAGTCAAAACAATGGAAAGATTCACATAGTGCTGTTATTTTATACTGGTTCAATTTGTGGATTAAGGATTGGCATCAGCTAAATGAGTGGGACTGTTCATAAGGGCCACGCATCCCTTGTAGAAAAATAAATTGCTCCTGGTTAAATCTGACATAAGGCATCATCGTGAAGAAGGATTAGCACAGTAGAAAAATTCAGTAGTCGTTGTCCGCCATACGAGTAGCTCAAGAGTAAAGTGTCTTGCAGAGGGGGGGTTGATCAGGCAGGACCGAGCGCTCCTTATCTGATGTGTAACCTCTGATCCTCTCCAGGTTACCTGTCTTGCTGTCGTTTCTTGGACGACAATCAGATACTGACCAGCTCCGGAGACACCACCTGGTGAGATTTACACTCTGCTCCACCCACACAGCTCTAAGATTTTAAATGCTTTTACATGATGGAAATATTCTTGTTTCTGTTTAACACACTAGACTGAAGATGCTCCAGCACATTAAATACAAATTAAAAAAAATTCTCCTTGATATTGATCTTCTTCTCTCACCATCTTACCCCCTTGTTGCTGCTTTTACATTCCCTTTGTGCTAATTGAACAGAAACTCTTTGATCTGTGCTATTCATAACGCTTATACTTTAAGTAGATATGCACGGCAGGCCCACTTTCAGTCATACAGGCTCATAACTCTAGAGGGCTGGATAAGGATGCATTAAAGATGGACACTCACACCTGACCACTACCGTGTTTCTTGCAGTGCATTGTGGGACATAGAGACCGGTCAGCAGGCCACCTCCTTCAGTGGCCACACAGGGGATGTGATGAGCTTGTCTCTGAGCCCGGACTTCAAGACCTTTGTGTCCGGAGCCTGTGACGCCACCTCCAAGCTGTGGGACATCCGGGACGGCATGTGCAGGCAGTCCTTCACCGGCCATGTGTCCGACATCAACGCCGTCACCGTGAGTGCTGAAACAGACGCACACACACACCCACACACAGACAGACACACACTGTAGGAAGGAAGAGTCTAAAGGATTGATGGGTAGAAGACTGCTGATTGGATATTGTTTAATATGGCTTGAAACCTGAAAATTGCAAACACATTTCAGTTTTCATATTACATTTTTTTTTTTTAACTCAACTGTTTAGAGCTTTATCTGAGTACAATAATTATATGTATTGCTATAGGATGTTTAACACCAAGGCAAACTTGCATACTGCTGTTTCTGTTACTGAAATGTAAAAAGCATTATTCATTTTCCAAAGACAACTTTGATGAGAAAATGTTTTCCTTTGCATTTAATAAATTGCATTGTGGATGTTTTCAGCTTTTTATCAACAATAAATCTAATATACATGTTGTGTGACAACATTAAGTTGTTTCATTAGTCCATATATTGGTCATCATCATTTTACTTCCACTGAAGATACAGCTCTTAGGTGCATTATATTGGCCTTGGATGGTCTGTAACACACTGGAAAAGTCAAGGAGCTTCATAATATGGTCATTCAAACAATTGTATCCTGATATCTGCTTGATTTAGATTTCTTTCTCTCCTGCAGTTTTTCCCCAATGGCAACGCCTTTGGCACTGGCTCAGATGACGCCACCTGCAGGCTGTTTGACCTGCGTGCCGACCAGGAGCTGATGATGTACAGCCACGACAACATCATCTGCGGCATCACCTCCGTTTCTTTCTCCAAAAGCGGCCGGCTGCTCCTGGCCGGCTACGATGACTTCAACTGCAACGTCTGGGACACTCTGAAAGGAGAGCGTGCTGGTAAATGACGTCCTAAACTTATTATTTTTTTTATTACAATTTTAAGATACAGATTTACCAAACTTCATGAATGTAAGTTCTGCTTTAATTCTTGACTAGAGGCAACTTACAAATTCTTAGATTTTAGAAACTGGAGGTGGAATTATCTGCATTTGTGCTTGAAATTGTTCAGTTTAAATCAAAATCAATGCCAGTTATGGATTCAGCTGTGAAATGTAGCATACATTGCATCCTACAATAGATGTGAACAGACACATGAGTAGCAAGTTGAAATTTAACATAAAGGTCGGACTGTGTAACTTCTTGTGTTACAAAGCTGAAAATGTTTCAGTGATTTTTGAGTTATTCATATTATTTTTTTAATAGTTTGTACAGGTTTAACTGATCAACCTTGGACTCATTTATTTGACCTTCAGGTGTGCTAGCGGGCCACGACAACAGAGTGAGCTGCTTAGGGGTGACAGAAGACGGCATGGCTGTGGCCACCGGATCCTGGGACAGTTTCCTTCGCATCTGGAACTAAACAAACATCTTCCCTGTTGTACTCAATCACTGCCCGCCTACTTCCTCCTGCACCCCCACGCCACATGTCCCAACTCATCTGCTGGGCTGGACCGGAGGGGTGCACACTGTGTCTGCCCAAATCCTCTCAACTCACCCCCAGCTCTCCTCTCTGCAGGCGACCCGCCCTCCTGTGAGAAAGTACAACTCTTTCTAACTTTCCAAGTGACGTTTTTTCTTTTTTTTTTTTACCCAACTTTTACACAGAAACAAATATAGGAACCTTTCGATAGAGTTGGCCAAGCAAAAGTTTAAAAAGAAGAGATTAGTTGTGAAAACTGAAGGAAAAAAAAAAATAAGATTTTGCCCAATTCTCTTGTGCGGGGAGGGCGATAAAAAGCATCTGTTACCGTGACTAACAAACAAGATGAGCGTCGGCGTGTAATATGTAAATGTATATATAAAGACAGTATATATGTATAGCATTATGTGTGTATATATGCATCATATATGCATATATAATGTGTATGTATATATTTTTGTAGTTTATTTCCCACCCTTGAGGTTTTTTTGTTATGTTTTTGGGGGTTTTATGTTTTATTTATAGTGTACATATTCACATTACTGCAAAACATAATGCCAGAAACACTGATTTTATCCAATGTGAGTACCAGACTGATCGTCAGACAAGAGGCAGCAGCGTATCATTGAATCTAAAAAGTCTGCTCTCGTTCATTTTCAATGTTTCTGGTACTAGCTGATTTCGTCAAGCCCACTCATTAATCAACAAACGAAGATTTAACAAATCTTAGAATTCGGCCAAGCTAAACTTACGTTCCTCATTCGATGTGTATTATGGTTACAGGCAGTATACATAATTCATGCATCCTCTATGCATTTTTTTTTTTCAACCACACAACCCCTGGCATTTCTCAACGCAGTCTTTTCATATGAAAGGAAACGCCACACTGCTGTGATAATGATAAAAGGGAGCATGTCAAAAATAAACAAGCCGTGTTTTTAAGTTTTAAGTCTGCTAGTCGAGCTTTACCTCGAAAGTAGAAACCGTTGAATTTTAGTCTAGGATAGAAAACGTTATTTACCTGGAGGCCCTGCCTTGGCCTCCACTTGTTTTATTGTGGTTTTAACCACACGAATATCTGAAGACCACATTCATTCCATGCAAAACAACAGCTGTGTGATATGATTGATAACCCAATAATAGTCCTAAATATAGGTTTTGCATCATATCTGCTGTCTCCTGTGGCCTATAGAATCTACTTTTCCTTAGTCGAGATGTGCATCTAAGTTGCCCATACAAAAGACACTGTTGGAGAGATGAGCATCGCATAGAGAGACGCGTTCTCCCGAAGCAGAAGCCATTTCTACCTGTGAGCCCGTAATGGTGCTGAGGCCTGTATGGACATAAAGTAGAGTCAATACATGAGGATATTTAAAGGACCATAAAGGACAGCAGCGACTCTGCTGGGGACAAGAGGGAAGATGAAGAGGAAAAAATAAAGATATCGGTCAGAGTTTGCCATGTCATTTTATCCTTTTTTAAAGCAAAGGATCAACAAGTCCTTTTTGTCGTCAACAGGGTGTGAACTGAGTGAATACATGGAACTGAAATCATGTCAGCCACTCTGAAATCACACCAGTGCCACCACAAGCCTGTAAAAAAAAAAAGAAAAAAAAAAAGATATTTTTAAAATGGTTTAACACTTTTTTTCTTTCCTCACCAAAAACATGTTATGAACTGTTAAATATTGCTTGTGAAGAGAGTACACTTGGTAGACGGAAATGTACACTTGGTAGAGAGCTAGATATGCACTCACGAACTGTAGTACAAATGTAAACCATTGAGCACATGTGACTTATTTACCCATAGAAGTACTATCTCTGATTTTGAGTCTTTTCTCATCTTCCATTATTTTGGTTCCTCTAAATGCTTAATTAAAACAAAAAAATGTATGTGATTTGGACCTATCCATCAGCTGTCTCAGGTGCCTATCTCTGAATTTAAACATTTGACCCAAATGGGCTAGATAAAGGAGGATTTGTGCTCCCGTGAGATGTGGCACTATTGTGTCTCCATTCTGCCTTACAATACCATTCCTAATAGAAGGTCATACTAGCATCGACTACAGTAATGTTTTCCTCTTATTATTCCTTTTTACAGATTTATCAAGAGAGATTGCTTATTATTTTTTGTTTCCCAATAGAAGCACATTCTGATACTAGTGAACACTAAAAAGCATGCTTACAGAAAACCACAGCGACCACATGCAGCTCTATACTGCTTCTTAAAGTGTTTCTACATCACTCTTTATACAATTCTACTTTCTAATACTACCGTACAGTTTGTAGTATTTATTTAGGTTCAGTCGGCTATCAATGAAACCCCTCTTTTGGCATAGCGTGATTCTAGTGACCTTTTTTGTTTTTAAATGTTTTTGCTGCTTCTACCTGGCTTTGCATTGATGAATCAATTTTGAGAGAATGTTAAAAATAACCGTTATAGTTTTTAGCCTGAGAATATCTTTGGGGTGTGTAGGATGTGATATGTATTGCATATCAGTGTTGAGGTGTGTGTGTGTGTGGGGGGGAGGGGAGGGGAGGGGAGGGATTGGGGGACGATTTGCTGATGTATGTGGATAACATATAGATCTAAGTGTTACTTCCTCATTTGTGCCAATGTTATCCACAGACCCTGAGCTGTGAACTGAAAACTAAGTCAATGTGACAAAAAAAACAACATTGCTCACTTTACTCAAGTGCCAGCCTTCTGCATATCCACAAATTAAATTCATGTCAGTATCTGATTTTATACCCAGGATGTTGTTTGATCAAACCGGTGGACTGCTTAAATCTAAAGATGGGTTTTTGTATCCCAAAGTGTTATAAAAGTGCTTATTAGACTAGAGTGAAGTTTCTATATCAATCAGCGGACATGAAAAGTGTCCCCCATATAAAGATGACAAAATGTATTTTAAGAGGAATTGTTTTAATATTGTGGGAAATGTTTGCTTTCTGGCAGTTAGATGGGACGATCACTCTCATATCTTTCCGTTAAATATAAGGCCACAACAATAAGCAGTCTGTTAGCTTAGCACAAAGACTGGAAACAGCTAGCCTGGCTAATGAAGTTCACTCATTAACATTCAATATCTTAAAACCAAAGTGTGAAAAGGAGAGTTGCCAGAACTATTCTGAATGGCGAATTATCATTTTACATATTTAATAAACAAGATATTCTTTTTGTTTTAGATTCAGAGACAGGCAGGAATTGTAACTGTTGGTCAGAGCCAGGCTAACTGTTTCTCAGTTTCCAATCGTTAAGCTAAGCTAAGCTAACCGGCAGCTAGCAGAAGCTTTTTTTAAATGTCTCGTTAATGGACAGACATGAAGCGGTATCTTTCCTAACTTCGTAAGGAACTAAGCATCTTTTCCCAAATCTCAAAATATTCCAATAAACCCTGCCTGCTCTTTCATAACATTGTGAGCTGCCTGAAATAAAATAAAAAGAATACACCATCGCCCTTAACAGCTCTGTAGGGGATTGTGTGTATTACTGACAGCGATATTTAGCAGGAAAGCATGTCCTCGCTATGTGTGTAATTCAGCAGTATTAGCCGCTGGAACCTGGACTAGTAACACTTCTACGTGCCTGTGCAGTTCACTCATTAATCAAAAAGGTGCTTGACTTTTAATTTCACATTATTGTTGTATTTACCTGAAGTCTCCTCCAGTTTATAACTACACAACTGATAAGGAGCCATTGAATCCGCCTGTTGGTGTAACAGTGTCGACATTGGATGCATTCACGGACGGTGTAGTCTGTAGATCCATCTGTGAATTGATTTAGGCGATCGTTGTAAAGTTGCCATTTGTCTCCTACAGTGCAACGGTCTGACTTCAAAGAGCAGATGTGAAAAGGTCACAGATGCACAAGTTCAGGCTGTATTTGTGACAACTATATTTGCATAACTCTCCAGGTTTAATATTTGGATATGACAAATGTTAAGTCTCCTGATTCAATGAGACACCACCACTTTAATTGCTTATGTCACATGATCACCACCACAGCACCATCACAAAAATAATGCACTGCCCTTTCACTCTACAACCTACTGTTCTGACATTTTCTTTGATTTTATTTATTGTTTTATGTTTTAAGCCAGTAAAGACCAGGGACTTGGTGCCATGATAATTCTCTTACAGTGCTATTGTGTGAAATTATAATCACTTGTTATGGAATAATTTTTATAGTCTTTTTCACACCAGACCTTTTTTTTGTATTTGTACAGTGGCTTGGTGATACTGATATGTTGCCATGAGTTATTGTAACCAATAAAAAGCTTCTAACCAAGAATACACATTGACTAATTTCCTTTGTTACAGAAATGTAGACTGTATACAAATGTCTAAAAAAAAACATTAACATTATATCCACTTTTGTATAAATACGTTTAAACAAGTTTTATTCAAGAAGAAACAACCGTTTGAGGAGAAAATTGACACCCACTTCAATGATGCAAAGTAATTGACAAGGAACAGGATAACTAGTAATTAGTTCTGATTTTGGTGCTTAACATTAAACTACAAGCTTTTTTACACATATGTTGCTTGTTGGCAGAAGAGTCGGCTCTGTACAAATAAAAATGTTTTTACAATTTAGAAACATACTTATGGTCACGGCAAAAGACAAAAACTGAAATGTATTTATATGCGATTACTTAATATCAACATATATTCCATTATATTAGCGTAATTAACAGGTGGAAACATTTTTAAAAGGATAACAAATGCACTAACCATCACTGACTGCAGTTGGTGCAAACCTTCTCCGCCTGTACGATGCAACATCCACATGATTTTACCTACAGGGCTACTTTCCTTTTGCATAGGTGGCACTGTTCAGAAGATTAAGATCCTAACAAAACAAAAAAACCTTAAAAAAACACTATCCCACTGAATAGGATGGTAGATTAGTTTTAGAGCTGTTGAATGAATAACAAGTAGTTGCATAAGGTCATGGACATCGGTGCTCTTTATCTATTGAATAAAAAACACATTTCTATCATGACAGGTCCTTGTCCAAGTCAGAAATTGAGACTTAAATATGGTGAAATACTTTCGACATTGAACATTGTTTATCTGACATAGGATTTTGTGTAGACTTAATGTCCAACAAACAAGTTGAACGCATTTTTCTTCTACATATGCCAAGCCATTTTCTAAATCATTTTAAATTGTGCACCAGTTACATATTTGCTTGCCAGAAGTCTTCTTCTTCGCTGCCATTGTTAATGCACTGCCATTAACTGTATTACAGCACATGCAGGGGGTCCTCATGCAAAATATGAAAAGTTGTGCTGCTGGAATTCTCCATACCGCTAATAAAGTCTTCCCAATAATTAACACAAAGCAAGTTTTAGATTGTGGCAGATTTAATACAATCGGGTAAATCTGGAGGTATTTCAACACACATTCAAAAAAAAAAGAAGCAGACAGATATACAAAGTGCAGACTGGAGTAATTGTCATTAGAAGTCTAATGGATATAAATAAAATATTATAAAATATATGAGGATTTCCAAATCTTTGAATCTATACAGTTTGAAAGGTTAGAAAATATAACATTAACCAACAGTTTGCTAAAGACATGCTTTCCCCTTTCAATTAAAATGTATACTAGGTCCTTATGATGAAGAAAAAAAACATTTCTCTTTTTCTATTAAATATATTTATTTTTCATGTGCCCGAACAGATGCATGTACAATCTAACAGACACTCAAACTTCATTTACTCAAAAGATTAGTCAAAAAAGGCATATTCACAGTTAGAAGCACGTTAGTGTCAAATGTAGCACCCGACCGCTAGCTTTCTCACCGACCGAGATTAAATTGCCACCTTTAGAAGCGTCTGAGTCCACGTTTCTTTGTTTTACAGGCAGTTTTGTTTACAGTGGTTCACTGCAGTTTTGTAGGCAACACCTGTCTGGCTGAGGGGAGGAAGAGGAAAATACTGTTGGGACTGGGCCTTTTTTCGCTCTGTCTACCAAGAGTGAAACTACAGATTATTTCCATTACCAATTGTTCTTTTTTTTCCTTGATTAGTCTACAAAATGTCAAAAAGAGAGAAATGAGCATTAGCCCAAAAATCAAAAAAAAAAATATTACATTTTTACAAATGACACAAAAGGACAAACCCTTCATACTTTAGAAGCAGCAGAAGTTTGGTATTCTTGCCTTATAAATGACTAACCTTTCATTGATTATCAAAATACTTATAGATTTCATTTTGGTTGATAGACCAATCGCTGCATCCATTGATCTTTCCAGCACTACTGTCCACACAGAGTCTGTGGAGTAGTTCAGGGGAGGGGGGCCGGCGCTGTGAGGCTGAGGAATGATTGGCTCAACAAGAACCAAACTGTGGAGAAGGAAGAGGAGGAAGAGGAGCCGCTCACTGCTGAGGCTGCAGGTACTCGTATGTGAACGCCTCCAATTGTTTCTCCAGATCTGTGGCTTTATGTCTGCAGTGGAAACAAACACATGTCAGATCTGGACCAATTTCATCCGAACCGCTTTATTTAAACTGTTCATTTGCAAGGCTGCTGTGTAACATCTGAATTCTCTAAATAATGCAGTTACTTCACTTATATAATAACTTAATAGTTGCCTTTTTGCCAAACATATAAATTACATAGGCCTTTCAAGAATAAAAGTAAATAAGTAAAATAATAACTGTTTAGATGTTCCTAATATACTTGTTTCGAGAACTCATTTACAATTACCACCTTAATTTATAAATGTTGTTATCCGACTATATATAGGACTAAAAGAAAAGCTGAAAACTGCCAGTGACAGTATCCTAAATTACACAGGTACTTTATCCTACAACAAGCACATATGTTCATATACAATTAAATCAATTAATCTCTCCTTAAACTGTGAGTCTGTTTACTGTGTGCAGAATGATGCTACCTAAGCTAAAACAACAACAAAGAAACACCTAGTTCTTCAGCATGTCTGGAAAATGTGGTAAATTGTGGAAGAAGGGTTTGATTGTCTCCAGCTCTGTAGTATAATTCACATAACCAAGGCATGCATGTCCCTCAGAGTAGACCGTCCCACCCTTCATGAGACATGGGCCTCACTGACCTCAGGATCTTGGAGTGGCTCTGGACCGTCTCCAGCTGATCTATCTTGGCTGTCAGTTGGCGGATTTCAGCCTCCAGCTCTTTCTGCGTCTGGTCCACCTGCTGACAGAGCCGAGCAAAGGTCGCCGCCATCTCCCTGGCAACACAGAGGGCACAGCATTGCAGTACTTATGTATTTAGCCCTGCTACAGAGGGGCAGGCTAGGTGGGGCTCAGAGGAGGGGGGTGCTGGGATCTACGTGTGAGTGCAAATTAGGAAATGTACGGGTTATTGGGATTTCTCAGCAGCTCACAGGAAATTGAGGAATGGAATATCAATGTTAAAGGATTGTTCCGCCCATAAAAAGGTGGAGTCAGTGATTCTCGAGAAAGATTGTAAATATTTGAATTGAACACAAAACAAATACCCCCCTTCCAGATTTATGGTCCTTCGTGCATTTACTGATACAGGGCTGAGTATAAAACACCAAAAATTGTTCAGTATGCACAGATAACTAATGATTATTTTATTAATGATTGATTATTCTGCCAAATATTTTCTAGATTAATCTATTCGTCATTAGGTCTTTAAAATATTATCGAAAATGACATTATCTGACATATTTACATTAAAATGTGCTTTAACAAATTGATCAATTCACAGGCTGTCTTTGGTCATTTTTCTTTTGATTGTCTAATTGATTAAATGGCAACCATTTGGGGCTCTAAACACAGAAAAGACTGCAGACTGTAAGGAGATATTCACTGAATGTGTCTAAAGTGTTTTTGATTAGAATCACTGACTTCTAATCAAAGTTTAACACTGGGCATTATCAATATGATATGAACTCTATACAAACAAAAAAATAATATTCAAAAATGAATGGTGCCTTGTAGATGAAAATGTCTCTCTGTACACATCAACACTAGAATATATACTCAAAGAACTGAGAAAATCAGCTTAAGTTGGACCGCTTCATATATACCGTACCACATATAGATTTCTGTAAATGCTGCGGTGTCAGGACTTACTGTTGGACCTGGTGGCTGCAGTTTGCACTCGTGAAGTTGACGATGAGCTGCAGCCTGTCGGTGGCGTAGTCGACAAACTGACGCTTCAGAGTGCGCTCCTTTGCCTTGGTGGTCCAGGTGAGTCTCTCGTACAGATACAGCAGACCGTACAGGGAGGAGGACAGGGCGATCAGCTTCCAGCCAACTGCTTTCCACACCTAGAACATAAATAAATAAATAAATAAATAAATAAACAAACAAACAAACAAACAGAAGCTGGGTTAGCTCCCTCACAGTTAGACCGCCTCATCAGGGATTGTTTTAATAGCTGCAGTCCTATGTAAAGTCATGAAAAGGAGTCGCCAGGCTTCTTGCTTTCAAATCGTTATGCCTGATTTATATGAAGATAGATATGGTGCAAAATGTGAGCACTTGTAGAGGACAATGTGAGAACTTGCATAAAAAAAATCTGTGCTTGTGTGCATACATTTACACTTGTAAATATCCACGTATCTGTGAATGTACCAAATGGAAGCTCTTCCATGCAGAAATGCACCAATAAAACCACACCAAACTGACACCAAAGAACACGTCCCGACGGACCCGACTGTTGTGTCGCCTCACGTCTCCTGCGTCTTGGCCAAAAGGTTGCACTGGAACACACCGCAAAGACTTCAGCCGACGGCCAAGTAGCACGTACGCACTGCGCATGAGTGAGTGGCAATAACTCTCCTTACCAGCAGGCGGCGGTAGTGTGTATTCGTCATTCAAAAGAGGCAACCGGAAGACAGACTGCGTGATATATACAAACAACAAATAGCGTGTGCGTTCAATGTAATGAAATGTACTTTTTAAATGTTGGCCATGAGGGTTGTGCAATAGGTCGCCATTGTCAGTATGTGCATCTGTGTATTGTGTTTGTTCAAACGGTGTATGACTGATGATATGTGTATGTCTCTTAATGTCCACTATGTTTGTATATGTACATGTATGCGGAACTGCAGGACGGAGTCCAGAACAAATTTCCTTACGGGGACAATAAAGTATATCGTATCGTATCGTATCATTTTCACTCTCGTCCATCACAGACTGTTTCACAGACTGTTTCACATAGCGACTTATAATCTAAAGCATGTTTGGTGCGGTACTGGCGGTATCAGCCCTTGGACTGTTGCTTGTGGAAGCAGATAGCAAGAGGCTTCTCATGCACTGATTCGCTAAGCTGAACAGCCAATCAGAGTGATTTATTTTGCCGACAGCCTCCGCTCCCGATTCAACATGTTCAATCGGGAGCGGAAGGCGTCGGCACGGCCGAAAAGACACGACGGTGCTGGACACACCAATCTGAGTAGGGCGACAGGACGCTCATCGACAGCCAGACATCTATCGACGGCCGAAATCGTCTTGGTGTGTCCGGGCCTATAATGTTATAAGGACTTCATTATGGATGTCGAATTGCTAGGACAACTTTGGAAACAACATACCACTCCTCCGACAATGATAACGCTCATGGAGGTGCGGGAGGTGAGGGATGCTACGTTGGTTGCCACAGCTATCATCACGTCCTCTTGGGTCATGAGGGCTGTCTCGTTGTTGGGCGGGGCCGCCAATGAGGGAGGGCCCGAGGAGGGGGTGAGGGCCGGCAGCGCTGGTAGGGAGCCCTGAGGAACGAGAGGGGAAATCTGAGCTCCTTCAAAATGGTTTGTATTTACGTTAACGAGGCCACACCCAGGGTTTGTTCGCTTTTTATGAGTACGTTTACAGAAATAATTTATCGAAAGTATCTTCATATTCAAAATAGAAAAGTTTGTGATCATGGTCAGTTGTTTATTTATTTTACAGTTTCATTAAGGGTTTCATTTCACTCCCCCGTCTGGTGTGAGACGCCAGGAGACATCAAACAAATGTAATGATGGGATTGTTTGATTTCAAATATATATTTAAACAAAAAAGGTTTAAATACCAGATTATGATGAAGATCAAGCACAATAAAATGGCTAAAGTAATACATTTTTGAAACCTGTAAGAATGTGTACAAACCTGGACTCACACAAAAAGCAGGAATAACAAACAACAATACATTTTGAGCCTGTACCTGGAAATTCTGGTCCACCAGTTTGAGCGCTCTCTGTGCGTTGACAGATCCCAGGAAGCGGTGCACTAGCGCTGTCCAGCCCAACGTGAACTGAAAGTCAATGTTCTCCTGGAAGTCATTGCACAGCGTGGCGCAGTTCAGGTCGTAACTCAGGTCAAATTTCCTGCTGGGCACCAGCATGTGGACTTGGCTCTGGGAGGAAGAGGGAAGCAGAGGGAGCATGCTCTCTGGAGAGGGAGAAAAAAGTGCGTATGAGAGTCTATTACAACAGAAATATACAGAAATAAACTGCAGTCATGGGATAGTTTGTAGATTAGTTTGTATTTTAAACATGCACTGATGCACAATGGAAAATTGACTTTTATTCACAATACGTCCGTTTACTTTTTGTGCAATTACATTGGGAACAAAGAGGCAGATAATAACACAGATAGAAAAAATCAACATCACTATCATTAAATATTGTGCATCTCTTCATCTCTCCTTAGGGAAAAGAAAAAAGATCACACCACAATTTCATAACAGCACCTGAGTCCTTATCGTCAGAGAGCACATTAACACCTTTTCAGCGTCACTGTCACGGAGCACAGCTTGCATTCGTTGGCCTGACACTGTGACGCATGTGTAGCATAATGGGGCACGGGATAATGGCATTCAGCGAGGAGGGTAAATATAGCAGCGCTGGGTGTTGCAGACCGTAGCCTGAGAGCCCCAAAGGTTTGGACTAAGTTTAGCAACACACTCTAAATGAGCGGGTGAGGGAGAAAACAATGGGGGACTGGAAATCTGGGCTGAGGTCATTTTCTATGAATTGATTATTATTTTCTTGGCTTTTAAGTTAGGAAATGATAGCTCACCCACCATTCATTATAAAGATGGGATACATAACAGTACAACATATCATAAATGACCAAGAGAAGCTGTAATCCCTCATTGATGCTGTGAATTAAATCATTCTGACAGTGATGGGACGCAGATAGTTATTAGTACTTTATATTATCACATTTATTTTATATTTTTTATTTAATTTGAGTTAACTTTTTGCTTTAGATGAATACTTTATTCCTATTGGCTTAACATAAGGGCTGCAGATTCATCAAAGCATCTGAACAGAATTTATTTAGTAATACAAAGGAGATCTTATATTTTGTGCTCTGTTATGTTTGCAGTTAATTCATAATAATAATAATAGGTTTCATTTATAAAGCACTTCATATTTGACTTCAAATCCCAAAGTGCTACAAGCAGTGAGCATGAACAGTATAAAAACAGTACACAACACGGTAGAATGAATAAAAAGCAATAAAAACAAACAATAATTACCCATCATGTATTTCTGTGAGGAGTGGACCGAGGCGTGGACGGCGTCGGAGCAGCGGAAGGCCAGGTTCTTCCCCATCCCCTCCTCCACGTGAGACAGCAGCTCCTGCAAACAGCACCAGGAGGTCACATGGAGACGGTTAATACAAACAAAATACCTGCGAGGAAATGTGTGGTGGAGTATAATAAATCTGTGTCTCTACTCACAGACTTGTAGATCTTAAGGACATGTGGCGATGGGTGGAAGTCAGAGTGGAACTCATCAACGATTACATGGAGACGGCAGATCTCCTCTCCCATGGCGATGGATACCTGGAAGAAAGACAACCAGAAAAATCAGTCAGCTACAGAACGCCAGCACTGAGCGGGAAGAACTTGTGGCCCTACTCAAAGAACCCCGAAGTGCATGAGGCCTCAAACTGATGCATTAAATAAAGTAAATGTCCTTTTTGATTTCTTTGTTTCTGTCCAGGCATCGATGTGTTTTGAGTTGTTTCATCCTCAGTATTAAACGTGATTAAAAACTGCAGGCAGCAGTAGAATAAAATGTTTTTGTAAGGGAGAAGGTAAGCTTAAACTCATCAAGTATTCGGAGTAGAGGTGAAACAATTAGTAAAAAGATATATTTAAAAAAACAATCGGCACTTTTGATAAGTGTAATATTTTAAATACATTTAAAAAAAAAGTGATCTTCTCAAAAAGGAAGTTTTATTAACCTATATTATAAACAGTTGACTATCTCATGATTTTTCAATTATTGATTATTTTATCCCTGATTTCCACCCTTATAACGGTTATTCAATAAAACAGAATAACAAAGCAATGATGAAAGGAAATGTCATTTGATGCCAAGTTCAGAGTTGTTGTTGTTGGAGTAAAGTGGAGGTTAAAACCTAAACAGACCATTTAAAAGTTCTTCCCCCGGTCGTCGCCTCCATTACCTTATTCTCCACGTCCGCACTGATGGCCTTGATCTTCATCTTGATATCATCGATCAGCAGGTGGAGCTGATTCTTCACAAACTCCAGCCGGTCTATCTGATACTCTCTGTCCTCCAGTGCTGCCACTCTAAAGCCCCCCCCCAGCAACAAGGATAAAAGTCACAAAAGCAAACTGGCAGCTGAACAGTTTGGCTGTTTATGAAGAAACAGGATTAAAAGAATACACAGTAACAGAGCAGAACGTAGCATTTTTTGCAAAATCCACTGATAGTTATAGCATGTACAAACTAATGTATCCCTGCATTAGTAAACACAATGTCACTAAATGAAGTTACACCAACAGATTCATAGATTACCTATAAAAATGTACCTCTACCAATCCACTCTAACTAAAAGTAAGTATGTATTGAGCAAGATACCCACCTCTTCTCCGCCGCCTCAATGTTGATGGCGTCCATGATGCTCTTGACTTTTTCTGTGATCAGCTTGGCCCTGATAGTGTGCTGCTCAAACTTTGTTTTCACTGCTGACTGCGAGATACACTCCTGCGAGGCCATAACACATAAGTTACTGTGACAGCTATAGGGGCTGGGTAAGGTGCATGAAGGTGCACGCTACCGGGGACAAACAGAGAGCAAGATACACACCTGCTACTTTAACTTAAGAGACGAAAAGAAAAGGGAAACACAGGTTTGAAAATGACAGCAGCAAGGTGTGTATCCTGCCTCCCACAGCCCACATATTGTAGTCACAGTAATGTGTTGGTGAAGCCACAGGAAAATAATGAAAACATATCAAGTGTAATACAATCAACAATGTAAATGAAAAAAATTAAATTGAAACATAAAAGCAGGAATATTGTGTCATTTTGAGTTGTAATTATTCCCTGTTCTACATCTATGGTAGGTCAGGCAAAACAAGTAATGTCTAAAGCGCAATTGTTATTTGTATTTTCACTTCAAATTAAATACGTTTATGAACTATAAACCTTTTATTTTAATGAGATTAGAAATACTTGTATTGATCCCTGTTTGGGAAAATTCCTTAAATTAGAAAATAATTTCCCAATTATATAATGTATTTAGATTTTGTTATAACCTCTCTGCGATGGATTCAAATTGCCTTCACAAACGAGTGTGCCTCACAGGAAGCGTGCATGTAAACCAGAGTGATTTTCTCTCATTGATAACAGGCTCACTGTTCACTCTCCAAACGGGGTATCAGAGCTTCCGCTGCTGATGTAAATTGGACATTTTATGCTGCTTCTTGAAATGTAAACTTTTGGGCCTTTTATTGTGAAGGAGCCACACGATACACTATGTATTTCTCACAGACAGGCTGCATACCTTCAGCACAGTAACCAAATTGACTGTGTCCTACTGTTGTGTGGTAAACAACTTGTACGTAGTGTGAAGCATTAAATCAGATGGCTGTTGCTCTGATTATCGACTGTCTTTCTAGTAAAACAACATGAGTTTGTTTGGATTCACTGTCAACACATACAGCAGTTAATTTCTGATACATGTGCAGTGTAACAAGTGTTTAGGACATGTAGAAACAAACTGCGCTTGCAGCCCCTCCTGTTATCTTAAGGTCTATAACTTTTAGTTTCAGTATTTTCCTTCCAGTATGGACACAATTAAATTCCTGTTCAAATCAAAACACAGAAAACTCCACAAAAATGTTAAGACACAACAAAAGTGAATGAAATGAAATCAAACGGATGTCCTCGCCTAAGTGAATCTAGACTTCAGCAATGAAGACGCAGGTTGATGGATAAGGCACAGTGATTGGTCGGGGATGCACAGTGATTGGTCGGGGCGGGGGGCACTGGAGCCCCCAGCATCCTATTGCACGGTTAGGAGTGAAACCTACCCACTGAGCGAGGTGAGAGTTCTTCACCGCTCAGGTTAATGTTTTGTGTGTGTGTGTGTGTGTGTGTGTGTGTGTGTGTGTGTGTGTGTGTGTGTGTGTGTGTGTGTGTGTGTGTGTGTGTGTGTGTGTGTGTGTGTGTGTGTGTGTGTGTGTGTGTGTGTGTGTGTGTGTGTGTGTGTGTGTGTGTGTGTGTGTGTGTGTGTGTGTGTGTGTGTGTGTGTGTGTGTGTGTGCACGCGCAATAAAATAATCTCGGTTTCAGAGCCTTATAAAGCAGCCACTGTCTTTATCTACCAGTCTGAAGGAATACAAATAGCCTCATTTCTCACAATAGTGACTTTCTCCCTCCAGTTGCAACTTACTCTGGCAAGCAGCCAGACAGTGCTGGTTAATCAACTTTAATAACATTGTAATCTGCTGTTTTTGGTTTGATTTGACAGTTTTACCTCAGAGGCATGCCGTTTGAGATGTCTTAGTAGTAGCAAATATATCAGCATCTCATCACAAATATATCCAAATATTATCAACAACTTCTCAATTTTTCTCCAAAATCTCTCTGTCAAGTTCAGACGGGAAATAGATTTTTCCTTGATGAGTGGGAATACATTGTAAGACATGGAGAGGATACACAAACACAGATACACACAGACACACACCTCAAACCTCCTCTCAAAGCATTGGAACTCCTTCAGTCTCTCATGGAAGCCCTCAGCCAGGGCTCCACCTGTTGGATTAATGATCACATCATTTAGACAGTGAAAAGTGATTGCTATTATTATTAATACATAAGTTGCATCAGAACGGACAAATTGTCCTTCGTCACAGGTAGGTTCTTAACTATTTTATATTTTGTAGGCATTGTTTTTTTTAAATGATTCCTTTCATCACTTTTCATTACTATTTGTAATTCACAACATTAATCGAGTTAAGTGGTATCTACTTATTTAGACAAAAGAAGGTTAAATCAAAATCTAAACAGAAAAAAACTTGAAATATTTTTTTTTTAATAGATTGAAAGTGGCTGACTGCACTGCACGTAGCCGTTCAAGTAAAGATTGGAAACTCTTTTTCTATTTAAACATGGCTGTATAGAATTAGATTTTGTCAACAGCATATCCTGGTTGCCAATTCAATCAAACTTTAAGATGGGAAAAACAGATCCCTATCATCCACAAATACAGCTCAGCTATAATGTGAAGCCTCACCTGATTCAGGCATGCCCTGAGCACGCTGCATGCGGGAGTTGAGCACCTCTTTGGCGGAGACGAAGAAAATGCGGTTGGGTGCCTGATCGCGATCCACAACCTTCAGCTCCTCCACCAGGAAGTTCACACAACGGTCCATGTGCTGCTTCCTCACCTGCAGGAAGGTGACGATTTTCATTGTAAAAACTGTACAATGTTAAACCAATTACTAAACCCTAGCTTATGCCAGTTTTGGTCATTTTGCAACATAAACACATAGGGATGGGTTCCGAGCCCCGGTATTAAACGGGCCCCGGGGCTGAATTATTAAAGACCGTGGGTGTGGTACCGTTAAGCTCTGACGTTATCGGTCTTTCTATCGGTACTGGAGACATTTAAAAAATATATGTCATATGTATTATGCTACATAAACATTATATTGCAGTTTTAGTCTATGATGTATTTTCGATCTTTCCAATCCAGACGAGAGATCTCTTTCCCCCGTCTGTGTGCGAGGGGGCGGGGCAGTTTACACACACGCAGCTCCTACATGCATGCAACACACACACACGGCGGACATGGCGGAGAGAACCAAGTGCTTCAAGGTGTGGTTACATTTTAGCCGTCTCGATGTGGACAATGCTCGTTACCAAAAGTGCAATGTTTAGCATGTAAGGGCGGTAACACGAGCAATTTGTCTAAACATTTAGCAAAAGTGCACCACATCCAGACGGAGAAATGCACCGATTTCGACTGTCTTTCTAGTGGCTCTGTAGCCCCATCCACGAGTAACGTTTCCACGTCAGGTATGTTGTGTATGCTAGCAGCAACACACGGAGCTAACTAAATTATACAAACATGGGTTAATGATTAGAGGTAACTGAGTTATTTATTTTGTTAAAGTTTCAGCTATTCTGTTTACAATTCTGTCATCACATTATTTAATAGGATTTGTTAAAACACTGTTGTTTCTTTTGATGTGAAATATTATTTATTTAAATAAAAAGCAATGTTAATTTTGTTCACAATTTGTTTAGTTAATTTACCTTTTTTTTTTTCATCAAAAGAACTGATAAGAGTACCGTTAAAGGACCGGATCGATAAGCGTATCGATAAAAGTAGTAGTACCGTTAAAACCTTAACGGTACCCATCCCTATAAACACATCCTGTAATAATTCAATATTATTCATTCTGACATGAGACAGATACAACAGACTCACATCCTCCATGTACTCTGGCTCATTGGCTGAGGCATCCCAGCGGTTGTTGAGGATGAAGATGTTGGGTTTTGACAGACGTTCGTTGACTTTGTGGAAAAAGTGTTTTTCCTGGATGATCGAAGGGGAGAGTAATTAAAATCAGCATTTGACAGTTGCTATTCCCTTTTTGTCAACAATCGATACACTTTTTTTTAGGAGGTTTACAAAAAGGAAGATTCTAAATGTATCTTATTTTTTGACTTTGCAGGACAAACCTGTGCAGACCAATAAAGCTAAATGAGTTGGCTACATGGATCACATTGTTCATGGTTGGCACAGCCAGACACAAACTCTCACTGACACTCGACACTTCTGCTTGACTGTCTTACATTATTTACACGATGCCGGAGATTTATTCGATGTATAGGCAAAGAGGGGATTGTGTATTTGCTTTCTCTTTAAGAGCTTCTGCCGGTAAGGAGCTCTGAGATTGACCCTCTCTCTGGCTTTACATTGCATGAATGCCTGAGCAGACATACACAACTGTGGGGCCTCTGCTGCTGCATACAAACACGAGCAGCCACATTCCTCATTATGTAACCAGCTTAGCATAGAAAACATTCACACTGGCCCTTTAAGTTGGCTGAAAACTTGCTTAGCCTGCTAGTGTGGTGTGTTATAATTAGTTATGACAATGTCAGTGTTCAGATGACTGTACTGTCACCACCCTGAGTGGACATACAACACCTTTAAAAGAACATTTTGTGATAATCCATGGAAGCAAAGATTGTAATGTCATCATGTCCAAACTAACCATGTGTACACACAGAACCGACCTTTGAGCAATCGTTTAATAAGTGATGAAAGTTGTTTTAAGATGTGGTGTAAATGTCACATTTTCACAAGGCTCAGAGGCTTTTACCGTGTTCATAAGCGTTGATTCAGAGTTGGCCACGAGCACAAATACATCGGCATCCAGGCAGAATTTGTCAATCCAGCTGTCCAGTTCAGATGTGACATCTGTCCCTGGGCTAAGGCAGTAGAAGAGAGGGTGAGTAAATAATGATTACTGACTTTATTTTTGTAAAGCTCACATTTTGATTTCCTAGAAACTGTCAACTTCATATTAACAAACTTTCCGGATTGGATTAACGGAGCCCGTTACCTGTCTACGAGCACCAGGTCGTCTCGGAGCAGAGCACACTTTGTCTTCGGCCAAAACACACGGACGAGACAGCCAGCGTCCAGACTCTCGTCCATGTGGAGCGCGTGAGCCAGCTGGTTTACAGTCTGCAGAGGAGATGTAAACAGACTCAAATTAGGGTTGTGGATGTTACAAATTATTTGATAACATGTTTCCTGTCGTTGATGTAGCTATGAATGTTATCTCAGGCTGGAGAAATCAGGGCACAATATTTTTTCTTCAGTTACTTTTTTATAACTTAAAAAGTCTGTTATTTTATTTTACCTGTTTTTACAGAAGGGATTCCATGTTTCTAAAATGTATGTATCATTATGCAGTTAATAATTTGACTTAATAACAGGAAGGTTTATTTATATAAGCCAATAAGATAATAATTAGAGAGGGAAATGTTACATTTGAAATTAGGTAGCTACCAGGTTTGACATGCCATCAGCTAGAGAGGACAATAGATGGATTCAAACTGATTCAGCTGCTTACTATGTTGAACTTGTGTTGAAATCATTCTGTTTAGTCAGTTGAAGTTGTTAGAAAAGTCTTCTATAACTGCTTATAAAACAATGAGATTGGTTCTGTTATCATGTTGAGGAAGTAACCTTTTAAGCTTGTACTCACATATGTGTGACTCCTTTGGGTTAAACAAAATGTCCACAGTAAAAATGTCATATACCATATTCCTGGCATTCTGACTGCAAGTCAACAGAGGAAATGTGAGGTAGCACAACATCACTGACAGTCTGATAAGTGAACATGGCCACATTCTGTGTCCCCTTTACAACAGCAGAAATACAAGGTAGTTCTCCATAGAACAACACAAATCTGTAAAAATATGAATGGGAGACAGACCATGGCTTGTAACGGACTCATTTAAACCTAAAAACATTTTGCAAAAAGGTTAGCGTTATTAAAATAACACCTACCTTGATGCTCTTCTCCTCATCAGAGCCCTCTGTCTTGAGGTAGGCCTTGTCTTCATCAGTGCCCTCCACACTGAGGAAGCAGTTAGTGGTGTGGCCGATCCCGCTGGGCAGCACGCGGTCCCTCAGCATGGCGTTGACCACTGTGCTTTTACCATTACTCGTCCTAAAACAAAACAGGCATTCCCTCTATGTCAGTCAAAATAATTTGCTCATACTCCAAATTACCAAAATTGTCCAGGCTGTAACATCCTAACTTACTTTAAATGTCAATGTAACACTAATGTGCTGCAACTAATGGGTCAGACTGAGTAAGTAATCTGGTTACTTTGCAATAGGAATTGTTTACAATGTAAGGAGGTTTAAGGAACTGCAACTCATTGCCCAATCAAGCAGAGGAAATCTCCCAGTATTTCTCTGGCACACCCTCCCTGTCGTGTCTTGGGTTAAGGCGTGCAGGGCATGACATGGTTCAATTAACATCAGTTCAAACTCAATTATAAAGAATGGGTGTTAGAGACAATTTGCTTTGGGTTGTGCACGGGGTTTGTCTATGTGTGTGTGAACGCGTCATCATCCAATCTGCGCACCTGGGAGCACGGGAGGTAATTAACCTATATATGTGGGCACGGGTGATCAGCTGGGATGAGAGGTTAGAGAGGAAGCCACACGTTTTTCAACCGTGTTGACCGTGATTGTTTGTGTCTGAGCGTGTGCGTGATCGTTATGTTTTAAACAATATTTTAGATACGTGAGACTTAAAAGAACATTTTAACCGTGGACAAATAAATAAAGCATTATAAATTACGTCATGGTGGACCTCATCCTTCACAACAACACGCGTTGGGAACTCTGACTGCTAACCTCCATGAGTGGCCTTTTTTGACGAGCGATCGCCGCTACAATGGGTTCTAACAAAAGGAAATGTCTGAGCAATGTCACTTCAATGATACTTGTGAAATGAAAAGAACATAAAAGCTCAGGCAAACTTCTACGTAAATAATCTGGAGGAGGACCACTTTAACTCTTGTACATCACAACAATACCGTCTATAAAGGTTGCTTTTATGGGAAAGAACACTTGGAACAAATACATTTCAGGTTTGTGTATAGATGTTTTTTACCTGCCAAAAAAGGCCACTTTCATGTGTCTGCGTGCCAGCACCTCCTTAATGACAGCAAGTTTGTCAGCATATGCCTGGATCTCCAACTTTTGATCCTGACTCGCAATGTTCTGCAAAGCTTTATTCCCACAGGTTTCTGTCCAAAAAAAAACGACAACCAAAATCCACTTCATGAGCAATTCAGACAGAGTGAGTTAGCTAACAGATAATACACATGATGAGCGTTTTTCTCTTTGATACATTTCGTGTTATAACCCTGGTAACTGTAATTAGTTTTCCAATGAAATCAATGACCTACTATTCCTGACTGACAAACGGACAGAGGTGGAAGAAGTACTTAGATGTTGTAGTAAAAGTAAAAGTCCTGCATAGGGCTGAACGATATATCGTGTCATGGCGATAACCGCGATATGCGCATGCGCGATATTCACATCGCAGGGACGTGCGATTTTATTCATTTTTTTTATTCATTTCTTTTCATTTTTTTTTTTAGGACGTCCGATATTAAAGGTGGGGTAGGTCATTTTGGAGAAACCAGCTTGAGTGTGCTAGAATTTGAAAATACACAGCCGGAAAAAATCTCCCACTTCCTTACAGAGCCCCTCCTCCAACACACACGAACGCGCACATGACCAATGAGGGCACGAGATAAGTTTGTGCACAGATGGAAGGCTGACAGGCAGGTAGGCCATCCAGTTATTTTAGCCGGGCCGGCTAAAATGATTGGTCGTGCTTTTTACAGTATTACGGCTTCCACAGATGACATTTTTGTATGGATTTTTTGTCAAAGCACTTAAGATATTCATTGCTATCGGGATGTGAAGAGCATTCCATGGAATATAACAAAAAGTGTATCTCGAACCGGTTTCTTACCTACCCCACCTTTAAGTAGGTAAATTAACTCAAACACGACATGTTACAATTATTTTGCTGCTTGCTACAAAAGGAAAACTTGCACGGCTCTCATGTCAGGGGTATTCAGTGAGTGACATGCAGGCTCTGCATGCACAGCAAACCACCAATCACAATAATTCTTGATCAGATCACAGCAGGCCCCGGCCCGCTAGTTTGCAGACCATCAAAACACCGGTAAAAAATGAGCGAGGCACAGGAGGACAATACCGGCGAGAATGAAGATTTACTTCCAAAAAGAAAAGCAACATCTGCCATCTGGAACTATTTTGGATACAAAAAGGTTCTTCTCTTCTTCATTCACAGATGAACCCCCTTATTTGAGGGTAAGCAACATGCATTATCTTGACATGTTAGATCATGACTTAAGGTATGTCAACCAGTTAAGATCCAGACGTCCGTGACTAAAATCCTTCATCCGGTTAAATATAGCTAAAAAAAACGCAATATATATCGCAGGGGGAAAAAATATCGCAATGTCAGTTTTTTTCAATATCGTGCAGCCCTAGTCCTGCATACAAAATCTTACTTGAGTTAAAGTAAACAAGTATTGGCATCAAATTGTTTTTAAGTACTTAATGTCCCATTTCAGAATCATATACATTTACTGGATTATTATTATTCATGCATTAATGTTCATCACTGCTGGTAAAGGTGGAGTTAATTTAATTACTTTATATACTGTTGGTAAATGTCTTAGCCTAAAATTATATATAATAGTTGATGTGTTAGTTTATTTATATTTTGTGTTAGCAAGTAATCCTAATCTGTAAAGTAAATAGTAACTCTTGTTTTTTCAAATAAATGAAGTGGGGTCAAAAGTACAAGATAGGCTTCCAAAATGTAATGGAGTAGAAGTAAAGAGTAGCATAACATGGAAATACTCAAGTATAGTACAGGTTCCTCAAAAAGTAAAATGCTTGAGTAAATGTACTTTTGTAAATTGAGAACAGAGAAGCAAACCCTCTCACCTTCTACAAACTCTGAAGTCTCTTTCACGTAGTTCAGTAGTTGTTCAAACACATCGCTTATCTTCTTCTTGGCCACAACAAATCTTTTGAGAGGAGAGAACTCCCCCCGAGCTGAATCCGTCCGTCTGAGAGGAGGGGCTGCAGCCATGGTGTTCAATCTACACACAGAGGGGTCAAACAGGTCAAGACAGTTACACAAGTGCACATAAACAACGTTAACTACCACCATGATCACTGTATTACACAGAGTAGGCTGGACTGATTAATCCATTGGACTGGTTAATGATGAAAATGCAGTTGTGCAACTTCTAGGTAATTGTTTGCAGGAAAGCTGAGAGGTTAAATAACGTGTGTTAGCTAGTAGTAACGTTAGTAAGCAAACTGTCAAGAAGTTAGCAGTGACATGGTTCCACTTGGAGACACAGTAATAAAACATTATGACTTTATATGCCTGGCTTTTCTCAACTACTTATGATAAAGATGTGAAAAAATGAAAGTAAACGAGCGGTCGCGTGTTGGTGAAAAACAAGCTAACAGATTATGCTAACAGTAGCTAACGTTACAAGCAGGGTGTAAACTAGCATTGGCACACACTAGCATTTCCTTACCACAGTCCTAACAGAGCCAGTGTTTTCTTCTCATAACAGAAGCAATATCGATCCGCGGCGACAGTTCAGAGAATCCTTTTCCCCACTGAAAGATTAGTTGCTGTCAGCCGGACTAACCTTCTGTTTGTATCCTGTGTCACGCTAGTCGCAAAAGAAGAAGAGCTTCCGGGATTACCTTCAAAATAAAAGCCCAGTTGATCTGAGTTGCTGCGTTTGACATTATGCCACAATGTATTTGAATATGGTTGGATAAGGTTTACGTTTATTTCCTACTGACTTGCATATACTTTAAATAGCTTGCCTTTGGTTGTTAAACTCAACAAATGCACCCTTGCTTGTGGTTTTGATTTGACAGGGAATCTATTATTTATTTCAGGTTGGTATTTTATAGCTAATTTTGTTTATATCATCAATTTATATCATTTTGTTTATATCATCAGCAATCAAATGTCTGCAAATCCAGCAGATTCAGATTAATTCTTGTAAAAAATAAACATATTTAGGCTAGATCCAATATTTACAATTGTTTTTGTTGTCATCTTACATTTCTTCTAGTTATCGATTGTATCATATTTACATTTTAAACTTACAAAGTTTTTGCAAGTACATTTCATAAATTGAACCCACTGATATACTATGATTTTTCAGTCTTCCTGAAATGTACATTTATTTTTGAAATTTAACGTGTCTAACTTCCTGCTCTGGTCAGATTTACTGTCTTCAGCTTGACACAGCTTCCCAATGAACTGTACGGCCGAGGGGGCGGAGAACAGTGACGAGAGGTTGTCTGTCTCCAACCAATCAGAGAGCAAAGAATCCATCCAACCCCTGAAAGAAGTATTAAGATTCTTTACTGAACTAAAACACTAATACTGTAAAAAGTCCTGCTTTCAGGAAAAGTATAAGCAAAATGTAGTTAAAGTAGTCATGTTTAAAATAAGAGGATTTATAGTTCAGTAAAAGCTCTCTGTCAGTGTTTTAACATCCTGCAGTGTATGATATTTCTAAATAAATATTACTGCTGTGTTACTATGTATGTTGCAATTCACTACTGTTTAATGTTCTGACTGTAAGTGTAACTAAATTGTATACTGTTGTTTAATCAGCAGCAGTACATTTTAGTAGATAATCATATGTTGGAAGCACCTTTATCCTGAAAGATGTACATGATCTCTAACAGCCCTGTTTTCGACTTTGTAGTGATTAGTTGACCAGCTGAGTCAAAAGGGCTTTTCATTTTTTATTTAGCTTAAAAAATATAATAATTGTCTCAACTCATAAAGGAAAGTTCAATCTTTCAGTTTATTATAAACATTATAAAATAGATACATGTAAAGATACATGGTTATAATGGACAGGAATGGGATGAAAACTGTCATCTGAAAAGTAATGTAATCCAGTAATCCATACAAAATATAACCATATACCCATACATAGTAGTAAAGGAAGGAAAAATAGGGTTTTTTGTTTTGGAACTTGGAAACTGATAGGAGAAAATGAAAATGTTGAAAAACACATTAAAAGCAGAGATCAGACAGCATTTAAATTAAATAAATAATTTGTTAAGCCCACAATAACTCTTATTCCGAAGAGCAGTGTGGCTGTTGCTGAAAGGGACAATGGCAGGGAGGAAGTGTGTGTGTGTGTGTGTGTGTGTGTGCGTGTGTGTGCGTGTGTGTGTGTGTGTGTGTGTGTGTGTGTGTGTGTGTGTGTGGTGTGTGTGTGTGTGTGTGTGTGTGTGTGTGTGTGTGTGTGTGTGTGTGTGTGTGTGTGTGTTCATGAGTGTGTGTTCATGTGTGTGACCTTAGCGACTGTGGCGAACTGTCATCAGTCAGACACTGAAATACCTCCAACAGGACCTCCAGCATCTGGTTTGGCTTTGGGATAATTGGCAATCTTTTATCACTACGAAACTTGGAATCGATCTCTTTCCGTTCTTCTTTTTCTTTTCTGTATTTTTGATGGTTATGTGCGGATTTATGATGGAGAACTAAAATGGTGAGGAAGAAAAAGCTGCTGGTGTTTGAGTAAGTATTAATCCTTTTTGCATTTGCTCTGTGTTGACTGTTTGAGCCTCTGATATACATTCAGTAAAATCCCTATGCCATATCAATACAACAAGCAACTTTAAATGTATGACTCTTATTTTTGTATTTTGTATTCTTTTTCGACAAAATGTGTTTTATTTATGGTAACAACAAATGTTTTCAGAGCATTACTACATACTGTGTTACAACAAAAATGATATAATCTCCATACAGAGTTAAACTTTACATTTTCATTTGAGAGTTTTGGTTTGGTAAAATAATATGAGACTTTTTCTCAGCATGGCTACACATCATACATTAATGATGAGATGGATGTACTAATTGCTCTCCTGGGTGGATATAGATTTCATCCCATCAACGTTTAGTTTTGATCCAAACTAAACTCTTCTCTCTGTGGAATTACAAGAACATGTTAATAGTCATATTAGGGGATCCAAGGCAGTTAATTTAGAATGTAACTATGAAACATTGAGAAATAGGAAATGTAAATGTGTTATGGATAAGTACTTCTATGTGAAATAACCTGGGCTCAAACTATTCTTCTGTCAGCTTCCTCATTGTGTTGATGCTATTGTGGCCGCACAGGTGACACAAGAGCTTATGTGTGTATTGTCTGTGTGTGAATGTATGGGAGCTCTTTACATTGTACCATCCTATCTAGCATTCTCTTTCCCTGGGAATTTATTTGACCTTTTGACTCCAGTCTTAACACAAACTCAGGCAGAAAATAAAAAAACATAAATAGAATTTCTTAGTTGTCAGATTCACTTTCAGTTATCTATTGGTGTGTTTTGTTGTCTGTCTCTCCTATTTGTGTTTTCTTTTCTTTTCAGAAATTGTGGAAGCATGATGTGGGATGGATAAACAACAACAAAACACAACTGTAAGTTTACTGAAGGCTGTTAGTGTGACCTGAAATATACCAGTGGGTGTTATTATGCTGGCCCGAATATGTGATAATTAATCATGAATGCACATGCTCCAACAGGAGAAACATCCAAGTCATTTCAAGAGTCCATTTACAGCTAAATCTTTCCATATGTTTTAACATGTTTATCATTTTAACAAATAGTTACTGTTGGGGTAGCTAAGGCCTGATTGGAAAGAAGATAAATGTTCATTTAAATAATTGTGTATATGCTCTGTCCTACTGCATTAGATGATTATGATTAAAATGGGAACAATTTTATAATGTTTTAACTTTTAATAATTCACAAATGCCAATTGCTCCTTCTTCTAAACCTCCTTATTTTATAACCATATTATTTTCTTATAACAGACACATAAAGACCAGTACAAGACAGTAAGACCAGCTGTGCATATATTTCATGAAAGTTAATAATATGTGAAATAGCTTTATCTATATGTGTTGTGTCTCTCCTTCTGTGTGCAGATGGCCTCTAATGACCCTGACCTTCCTGACCCCTCCGGTGACCCTCAGCCCGGTGACCTCATTGAGATCTTCAGACCAGCCTATCAGCACTGGGCTCTCTACCTGGGAGACGGTTACATCATCAACCTGACTCCCGTCGGTCAGTAGGACATGAGATGAGTGCTGAGTTCTGTGTTGTGACTTTTACTTTCGTGAAAGAGTCTAAATACTCTTTTCACATTTGTGGTTTGGTTTAAAGCCCCTTGAAACTTGGGTTTTATTCTCAGAGGTGAAAGTAGTAAGTAGTTAATGCTTCAGTGGAGAAATACTCTGTAAAGTAAAAGTCTTATATTCAAAATGTTACCAAAAGTAAAAGTACCAATTCTGCACATTGGGTAGCTTTTGAAATTCACCATCATAGTCAGAATCAGAAACAGGTTTATAACCAAGTAGGTTTACTCGTCTGAGCATGTTGCCTTGTTGTATACTGTATGGTGCATAGACAACCACAGTTGAGGAAGATAAAATGTAAGTAAGGACCAACCATGGGATCAATTCAATAATATCTTATCTGATAGGATTTATGGCTAGTTTTGTAAATCTTTGTCAAGTCTTTGCTCCATTTCAAGGTTCTTGGTATTTTTTTCTATAATAGGAGCCACTAAAGTCTTTAAGACTGGTTCAAGTTTGATGAAATTATGTTGTTTCCGTCCCATTTTGGATCCTGGCCTTTGGACTTTCGGGTCTGTTTGTTGTGCAACCCCACTTCAACTGTTAGTCTATATTTTTGTCAATACCTGCAATATTCCGGATACTACAATGTTCACTTTTAGTCATACTTGTTATGTCTAAAATCTTGTTATCACACTGAGGCTATCCTTTTCCTCTCTAGACGAGAACCAGGCAGCTGCCATGTCCAGTGTGAAGTCCGTCTTCAGCCGGAAGGCAGTGGTGCGCATGCAGCTGCTGAAGGAGGTGGTGGGTAGTGACTCGTACCGTGTAAACAACAAGTACGACCACAACCACACACCCCTGCCCGTCTCTGAGATCATTGAGCGAGCACAAGTCCTCATTGGCCAGGAAGTGTCTTACGACCTGCTGGGGAGCAACTGCGAGCACTTTGTGACCCTTCTGCGCTACGGGGAGGGGGTGTCCGAGCAGGTCTCTCACTGTTTATTTTGTCTTTGTCTCATGTGTCATCAGGGCAAAATACTAACCTTCCACTCGGCAGACCACAGTGACTGATGGCATGTCACCACAGTCAAAGTTTTAACTGTGAATTACACTTCTTAGAAGAGAATAAGGGACATTTCTTTAAAGTAATCCTCACCATAAACATCTACTAATCTTTGCAGTTCGTGAAATATAAAGGGGAAACAAATGTACTTTGTATATGAAATAGGCTCTAGCCCTTTTTAATTCTACCCATAGATTTGGCAACGCTAAATCAATACTCCTAAATACAAAAATTGGGCCTATCTGAACAAGTTTCATTTAGGCAGAGGGTTGAAGGTTTGTTATTTGATTTGTATGTGTGAAAATGATCAAAGCACTTCATTCTCAAAATAAATATGCTGTTTATTCTGTGTTACAGACAGGTGTAACATATTGAACATTAGAAACTTTCTTGTTTTCTTTAATATATTGAAGATCACAGTCCACCTCCTCTTGTCCTCATTGTCTCCTCAGGCTACGCGGGCCATTGGGGCCATCAGTTTGGTGACGGC